TCAGAGAGGAAGGGAGAAGGAGAGAAAGAAAAACATCCGTAATGAGAGAGAATCCTTGATCGGCTGCCTCATGCTGCCTCATGCTTGCCCCACAATGGGGATCGAGCCCACAACCGGACATGTGCCCTGATTGGGAATCAAACCGTGACCTCCTGGTTCATAGGTCGATGCTCAACCCCTGAGCCATGCCTGCGGGGCTTATTCTTTTTTCATAAGAGCTGTTTTGAGATGTAATTCACATACTCTGAAACACTAGTAATGTGTAATTAATTCAGTGTTTTATAGGATGTTGGCAGTTGTGCATCCCTCACCACTACATAGTTTGAAACATTTTCATCATCCCACAGAGAAACCCATTCACAATCACTGCTGTTTCCCTTCACCCAGTCCCTGGCACCCCTGGATGTGGTGGTCAGGCAGTTGTTAGTCTGCAGAGGGCGGTAGGGCTTCCCTGCTCCTGCTCCTGGTGCCACCTGTGGCTCAGGGTGGCCTGTGGACTGGCAGACGGGCTGCTCCCTCCCAGTTTAAAGGATGAGTCTGCAAAGGACCTGTCTGTTCTCAGTGGGACCATTGTAGGCACCGGAGTAACAGGTGGCGAGGGGAGTTTGGCAAGTTTCCCTCTGTGAGACCTTAGAACTCACCTGGACACAGCAACTGAGCTGTGACCCCCTCAGCTTAGGCAAGCCTCCACTCCCCCACCCCCACGGGGAACCTCTGTCTCCTCTGTGAGGGGTGGGCAGTGAGCTATTGCCCCGGCACACAGGAAGAGTCTCCTGAAGACTGAAATAGGCAGTTGGTATAAGTATAACCGGTTCTAGGCCTGATCTGAACGTGGATCCTGCTGTTCACCACGCAGACACCGGGGGCTGGAAGTGGGCAGGACTCAAGAGGCTGGAGGGAGCAGCTGGGTGGGGGGTGGGAGCATGGCGACTTCCTCTCCTGCCCTCAACCGGGAGTGACCAGTGAAGACTGCATCAGGCTGCAAGTAAACCCACCAGCCTAGCGAAAACGCACATGGAGATTTCTTTTCCTTTCATCATAAGAAATCCAGAGGACTTGTTGGCCTTGGTGCCAACATAATTCTGATGTTGGTTCGCTTGAAGTTGTCCCAGAGGTTTCTTACATTATCTTCAATTTTTTGGATTCTCTTGTCTTCTTGCTTCTGCAAAGGAGAGTCTTCTGGCTCTTTATGTTCCAAATCTTTGACTTGATTCTTGCTATCTTTCATTCTGTTTTTAGGACTCTGTATAATATTTTTTTTTATTTCAGACAATGTATTCTTTATTTCTAGTTGATCCCTTTTTATTTCTAGTTGATCACTTATCATATCCTCATAGGTCTCATTTATTTTATCGGCCTTTTCTAGGAAATTCTTGAAGAAACTTATAAGCATGGTTTTGAACTCTATATCCAGTCGTTTTTGCCCTCTATTTCTTTCGTTTGTGATCTGTTTCCCTGTCTCGGCATTTTCACAGCTTCTCTGAGTTGGTAGGGTGGCTTTGTGTGCTCAGGTGTCCTATATGGTTCAGTGGGTCAGTCTCCCAGTTACCTGTGGTAGACACTCTTGGTGCCCCCTTTTGTGGACTGTGTGTACAGCCTTGTTGTAGTTAAGTTTTATTGTTGTTGGTATCACTGGGAGGAACTGACCTCCAGGTCAATTGGCTGTGAGGATCAGCTGTGTCTATGCCAGGAGACAGCCTTATTCGACTAGACTTGAAAACTTGCAAAAGCCTTTGTGCTTGGATAGGGCGGAGTTTCAGGGTGGAGCCTACAGCCTTGGCTTACAGTTAGCCCCGCCCTATGAGGTTCATGAGTCTCATTGTTCCTCAATGTCCTTTGGTACTTGCTGCAAGCACCTCTGAGAGAAAAGTGCCCTTGAGTTTTGCCCGCTACCAAACAGTCTAGGCTCTCCCCCAATGAGCTTGGAACTGGGGTTCAGTGCAGTTGGAAGTGGGATTGGAAGTGGGGTTCAGAGCAGTTTGGAGCTTTGGTCTCCTTCCTGCTAGGGCAATCCAGCAGCACAGTCAACCGTCCGTTCTCTGTGCGAAATATGCACGCCTCTGGGACTGCCTTTCGCTGCTCCCCTGAGTTTCCGCCTTACAGCCCAGACTCCCTCTGTATGAACCTGGGTCCCCAGGGTCTCGCCCAGAACTGGGGTTCAGTGCTGTCGGAGCTGGGGTTCAGCACAGTTCGGGCTTTTATCTCCTTCCTGTTAGAGAACCCCAGCCAGGCACTCAGCCTCCCTCTCCTCTCCGGCTCTGTCCTCTCCCCACGCGCACTGTGTCTCTGTACCTTAGGCTTTTACAGCTCCTCTGATTTTCCTTCTGGTTTTCTCTTTCCTTCTTGTTGGACAATTTCCAGTCAATCATCTTCCCTGTAGTTCTGGATAATGTCCATTTTGTATTTTAGTTGTACTTTTTTGAAATTGTTGTGTGAGGCTGCAGTTAGGCATTTACCTATGCCGCCATCTTGGTTTCTCCCCAACAATGAAGTTTTTATGAGGAAACTCAGTTTTTGTTTGGTTTCAATGTCTCACATTTGTCTAGAAACAGTTCCTTGTTGCACCATAAGAACGAATATATCTATTGTGTATTCTAGAAAAGCTACTGGCTGTTATTTTTTAAATTTTTATTTTAAGATAAGCTAGTCAAATGTAATTATTCTCTGATAATTTATCAGAATCCAATGATTTCCATCAATTATATTTATTTTTGGTGGTAACTGCAGCTTTGAATTGCATTTAAACCATTTAGATTTCTCTTGTCAACAAATACTTCCACACCAAGGTTGTCTTCCTTTTTTATGTGAAGTTATATTTATAGTACAGAAAACATTTAATAGATGTAGAATAAGCAGTGTAGTATAGTGATCACATCTTGCCCTCTTTCTTTATATTTTCAGTTTTTAAGAAACAAGGAAACACTAGGACTGAATAGCTCAGTTGGTTGGAGCATTGTTCCATACACCAAAAATGTGCAGGTTCGATTCCCAGTCTGGGCACATACATAAGGCATTGTTTCTCTCTCACATAGATTTTTCTTTCTCTCCCTCTGCCCATCTCCCTCTCCCTCTTTCTCTCCCTCTAATATCAATAAACATATATACAAGTGAGGATTTTTTAAAAAGAAACAAAAAATAATAGTAAAGACATAATACAATACAGTAATAGTCGGTCTCATTTTTCAGTCCAAATTCTCTATTTACATTTACATTATAAATTTTCTAATCATACTTCTAATTTAGGTATTTAATCATTTATTGCATATACTAGAGGCCTGGAACATGAAATTCATGCAAGAGTAGACCTTGCTTCCCCCAGCTGCCAGCACCAGCTTCTCTCTGGGACCCGGGACCAGGGCTTCCCTACTGGCCGCCATCAGGCACCCAGGACCCAGGCTTCCCTCGCAGGACTGACTTTGTCCACAAGGTCGTCCGGAAGGGTGTTTGGTCTAATTAGTAGATTACACTCTTATTATAGATATATATCAATCAACCATATGTAGTATTAGTTCATCTTTCTGGATTTATATACAGGTATATTTTATGTAACATTCCCAAACTTTTTTGTTTATATTATCATAAATTTTAAAATCTATCTACTTTGAGACAAATAGTTCTTTCTTGATTTTAACTACCTTGTAATATTTATTCATATAAGTATTTCAGAACTATTTATGTATTCCTTTACTGGTGAATATTTACCATATTTTGTTCATTTTATTTATTTATTATTTTATATATAATATACATATATATGTATATATATATTACTTCAGAGAGGAAGGAAGAGAGATAGAAACATCAATGATAAGAGAGAATCATTGATCGACTGTCTCCTGCACACCTCACACTGAGAATTGAGCTCGCAACCCCAGCATGTAACTGGGTTTGGGAGCAGACTGTGATTTCCTGGTTCATTGGTTGATGCTCACACACTGAGTAACACCAGCCAGGCATATTTTGTTGATTTTTAAATGTTCAATATGACACATTTAAAATCATTAGAAATCCAAATACAGTGCTAATAATAATGCACATGGCCTTCATCTACTCTGTGTAAGATAAAGGTCCGCAAACTTCCTGTGTAAAGGGTTTGGTAGTAAATTGTTTGGGCTCTGTAGACAGTACCACCTGTCATAATTATCCAACTCTGCCATTGGAATATGAGAGTAGCCAAAGACAATATGTAAACGAATGTACATGTCTGCCTTCCAGCCAAACATTACTTATGGAGACCAAAATGTTAATTTCATATTATGTTTATGTATCAGAAATATTGTTTTCTAACTTTTAAAAAGTGAATAAAATTATTCTTATTTCATGGGACATATATATATATTTTTAAATATATTTTATTGATATTTTATAGAAAGGAAGGGAGAGAGAGAGCTAGAAACGTCGATGAGAGAGAAACATCGACCAGCTGCCTCTTGCACACCCCCTACCGGGGATGTGCCTGCAACCAATGTACATGCCCTTGACCGGAATCAAACCTGGGACCTTTCAGTCCGCAGACCGACGCTCTGCCACTGAGCCAAACCGGTTTTGGCTCATGGGACATATATAAACACACAATAGGCCAGATTTCACCCAGGGAATATAACTGGCTGACACCTGGTATACAGATAATATAATGACATACCCTCCTTTATCACATCTACAAAAAATTATTTCCTTCTTTCATATAAAACATTTAATAAAATAAGTAAAATGTTAAAAGCTCAGATGCTCTACATGATGATGAGCAAGCCAGTGACCTAATGAAAAATTCTGGCTCTCAACACTGACTTGGCCAAAATGCAGAAGTGTCCTGTGTTGAAGTCTTTCTGCAGGGACAGACTGTCAGAAAGCAATGCTGGGTGGGTGAGTTAACCCACACTACTGAGCAAAGGAGCCAGGGTGGCCTCCTGGTACTGCGCAGAGGCCCCACCAGGTGGCGCTGCAGCAGCAACGCGCCTGGCTAGCCAGCCTGGCAGATCTGGCCACAGGCTCTCTCATGAGTAAGGGGGAAAGAGTGGGGGGGCCGCGAGTCACAGGACCCGCTGGGCTTCCTGTCTCGCGCCGCTGCCTCGCCCGCCCGGGTAGGCGGAGGAGCCGTTGGAATCTGAGGGTAGCTGGTGTGGATGACGCCCCTGCTGACAGAACAAGTGCATCTGCCTGGGGTCCAGGCCAGCATCCCGCAGGCGCTCCTCTTCCTCGTGGGCTGGACCCGCTTGCTAATCTGAGGGAGGAGCTGGAGCTGAAGCTGGTGAGGGGCAGTGCGGGGCCAGACCCCTTCCTCAGTGTCACCAGGTGAGTGCCTTCCCTCTCACCTGCCCAGAGCCTCCCTCCAAAAACTCTGTGAACCCCCCCACCCCCACTCAGCACAACTGGGTGCTGGTTCCAGCCTGTCTGGCACCTCCCAGGGGCCCAGAGTTGGAGTGTCCCACGTGGTGGTGGCTGTTTAATACTATAGTATCGACCAATATGTTTTAGGATAAGTTTTATAGGGATTTTGTACTTTTGAAAGTAGTAGTAGTATAAAAATGTGTTTACATTTTTGTGAAGTATTGCTGCCAGAAAGGTTAGTCCAAGGAAAGGTTTATTATTGCTGAGATATTTAGGAAGATTATAGAAATCTGAACCTACAATTATTGATTTTCTAATTTTACCCTCATTCCACAGATGTAGCTAGGAGAGCCAGAAAGGGGAAGTGAAATCCCTGAGACCACAAAGGGAATTTGGAGCAGAGATCAAATGAGAACCTAAGGCCAGTGCTCCTTCCACTTTTCCTGTTGGCCTGTGTAGAGCCAGCTGAGGTTAGAGCGATAGAGCTGTGACCTAGGAGATCTTAATCCTTCAAAAATCTTTTATTTATAAATATACTCCTCTTATTATCTATATAACATTATTCAATTATTTTGCAGCAAGAATAGCAAAAACCGTTTTAAAAAGAAAATTTGCTGTGGCTCATGTCTAAAGTTTATCAAGTCGGAATCTTTATGAAGACATCAGCCTTCCAATGCGGAATTCTTCAAATGCAGCCTGAGCTGTGGACCTGAGGCACCCTGCCCAGGAGCCTCTCTTCACAGTTCCTGCTTTGCCCCCAGCCCTACCCTCACCAGCCCTGCCCCTCCCCAGCCCACCCCCACCCCCAGCCCTACCCCACCCCCAGCCCTGCCCCACCCCCAGCCCTACCCCACCCCCAGCCCTACCCCTCCCCAGCCCTCCCCCTCCTCAGCCTGCCCCACCCCAAGCCCTAACCCACCCCCAGCCCTGCCCCACCCCCAGCCCTACCCCAACCCCAGCCCCTGCCCCATTATTTTTTCCAAACAGACCCAGCATCTCCAAAGAGCAGTGTTTTCATTCAGGAGCGGGTAGAGTGCAAGAATGCTTTTCAAAGAGTATTTCACAACCTAAAGCACTTTTTTTTTTTAAGTTTCTCAAAGATAAGTGGATAGTCACTGAACATGGATACAAAATGCATCTACACTAAAAAGAGTTCCTTAAATGTTTTTAATTTTTTTTCTCATTATAAAAATAATACAGGATCTTGGGTAGAAATTTTAAAAGAATAGTATAAAGTAAAAGAAACAACATATTTCCACAATCCAAGGTTAACCATTGCGAACATTTCAAATTATTTCCTTTGATCTTTTGTCAATTTATATATTCAAATACCATTTTGAGGTGATAGTATTTATTTATTTATTTATTTTAATATATTTGTATTGACTTCAGAGATGAAGAGGGAAAGAGAGATAATAATATGGATGAGCCGAAACCGGTTTGGCTCAATGGATAGAGCTTAGACTTGTGGACTGAAATGTCCCAGGTTCGATTCCAGTCAAGGGCATGTACTTGGTTGTGGGCACATCTGCAGTAGAGGTTGTGCAAGAGGCAGCTGATCGATGATTCTCTCTCATGGATGTTTTTAACTCTATCCCTCTCTGTAAAAAATCAATAAAATATATTTTAAAAAGTAATAATATGGATGAGAAAGAATCATTGATCAACTTCATCCTAAAAGCCCCCTACTGGGGTTGGACCCACAGCCAGGGCATGTGCCCAGAAGGGGATAGCTGCTCAACACTGAGCATGCCTCCAGGGCAAGATGATACTATTTATTACCTGTGTATCCTGATTTGTTTCTTTTAGTTATGGTGTATGCATTCCACTACATCTATAACCATTTTTTCCATTTAGTAAGGCACTGTTTATTTTTCCCAGCTTTATTGAGAAATAATTGATATACAGTGTACAAGTATAAGGCAGAGAGCACAATGGTATGATTTACACACACTGTGAAATGATGATCACATTGGGTTCAGCTAATATCCATCAAAGTTGTGACAAACCAACATTGAAATCTCTAATGTAATTTGACTTAGTTTTTTCTTCAAAGGCAACCCTACAATTCTGACTGTTGCAAAAATGTTGTGCTATGGGCGACAATGAGCTTGTACTTGGAATTAAAGCGCAGGGTGTGAGGGTCTGCAGGCTGGGGCTCTACAGCCCTGGCCTCTTGCCCGTGACCTCTGTCTTTTCACATGCGGTTCCTTTCTCCTTCCAGACTTCACATGCGGCTGGGCATGGCTGTGCTGCCCCTGCTGGGCGGGCTCCACAGTCTGCCTTCCCACCACTGGGTGGCAGAGGTGAGAGCGCACTGTGTCAGGCTGCGGAGCATATGAAGTTCAGACCTCACTTCTGTGTCAGCAGCTCTGGGGGTGACCTCAGCACCAGCACGCGCAGAGCCTGTGCTGGCCTCTGGGGTGTGCTCTGTGCAGGCCCTGCTCACCCACAGCTCCTCTCCCTCTGATTCGCAGCCACCTTCCTGGTCCTTCTGCTAGGAGCTCTCAGAACTTAGACTCCTATCCTCCCATGAGCTGTGTTGAAGCTTCATATAACAAGATGCTTTTCAGGGAAAACTGGCAAGAGAAAAGAAAAGAAGAAAAGGAAAGGAAAGGAAAGAAAAGAAAAGAAAAGGAAAGGAAAGGAAAGGAAAGGAAAGGAAAGGAAAAGAAAAGAAAAGAAAAGAAAAGAAAAGAAAAGAAAAGAAAAGAAAAGAAAAAACAAGACAAGACATTAGCAGGATTTCCCCCAATACTTTAGAGTCCAGGGCCCCGTTTTCCCATGTCCTAACCAGAGATGGTTTATTTCTCAGTATTTGAGAGGCTCATGCCCAGGCCATGGCTTTAGAGCCAGGCCCGGAGAGAAGAGGGAAGGGTCCAGGGCAGCCCCCACTGTGGCTCCCACAGGCCCCTGGCCCAGTCCCCTCTGAGTCATTCATGTCCTGCTCACAGAGCAGTGCTAAGACTCACTGCCTTCCAGACGAATCAGCTCACCACCGCTCTGGTCACTTGCCAGGTTCTCACTTCTATCCCCGTCTCCCCACTGCTATTTCTCTCTGGAGTCCGAGTTACTCTTCTATCCTGAAACCGTATTGTCATCATCGGGTGGACAGCTGTCCATTGACCTGCTCCATGTCGGTGGCTCCAAAATGATGTGTTCTATTCCTCTGAGAAGAAGAAATGGAAGGAAGGCAATGGGTCTGGACAGCAAGTAGAAATACATGGGGAGGGGTTTCTTTTCTCTCAGTACTTTGAAGTGCCATGTGGATTGGCATGAGGTACTTTTATTTTATTGTTCTCTCTGGGTGTTCTTCCTGAAGGAGGTGACTGCATTGTCTGGCTGCTCAGGTGCAGAAACAAGAGGGTGAGTGTGCTGTCCTATGTGCCAAGTTGCAAGGTGTTTGTGGTGTTCTGCGTCTCTGAGCCTCTCTCACCATGGGAGTCAGGGCTGGCCAGAGGCAAGGACAGCCATGAGTGGCTGTTCCCAGGGCTTCCTGACAGCACTCCTCTGTCCGACCTCTACCCTGTGGTCTGTGCTCATTGCCAGCTGAATCCACAGGCCAGAGGAGGCTGGAGCCCTGAGTCACTGTGTGGAGAGGACAAGCTTTGGTGGCTCTCTGGCCCACGTCACGGTACACAAGGAGCAAGATCTTACTGGGTTCAAACACTGAAATATCCTTCATGACAGCCCACATTATTGCCCTAACGTCTCAGTCTTTGACGAACAATCAGACCCTCCCTGACTGGACCACAAAGTAAAGTGTCAGACCTGTGATGAGCGATGCTCTGTCTCTCATCTTTGGTTAACCCCCTAAAAATGGGGATGTGTTGATTTCACTCACCAGCATTACATTTTTTCGTCTTCCAGTAAAGTTGACAGATAAATTGGAGCCATCTCTGGAAGGAGAGAGCATATGAAGACAAGGTATTATGATTATTACCTTAATTTGAGCACCATGCTGCCAAGTACACACACAGAAAAATTGTTTACCCTCCCTGACCTTTGACAGAGCATATGTGTCGTTTCTGCAGTTGTGATCTGTAGATGATTAAAAAGCACGTTCTTCCAGTGACAACACTGCCTTCCTTCATCCTTGTCCTTGGGTAGCGTCTCTCAACCCAACCAAGACACCAAGAAGTGAATCTGCTCTGTGGACAGGACCCTGGCCCAGCGTTCCTGGAATGGCACAACACGCCCATCCTTGTCACTTGGGGGATGTGGTTAGTGAAGCAGAGGGTCACTGAGGGAGGACTGTGCTGTCCATGTTGTGTTTGTGAGAAGGTTGAAAGGTTTGGAAGCTCCTTTAAGAAACCATGTGGTACAGTGAAGGAGCTGTTCCCACTAGTGATCGCATAGAAGTGGCTGAGACACAGCAGCTTATTAAAGGCTGAGGAAAGCCTGTGATGGGATGAGAAGGTAGCTGTGGAGGTCACTGGTCTGGTGGCTGACTCACAACCCCACTGACTCCCAGTTCCCCTCGGCAATTCCTTTTACTCAGCCCGGGCCCCAACTGGACTTGCTGGGCCCGAATCTCTGCGACAAGAAAACCAAATCTTGGTCACCCCTTTTATCCTTTAACCTTTAAAAAAAAAATGTAATTGTGGATTCATATTATTTGTAAGAGATAATGCAGATGTGGCCCAGCTAATCAAACCCGGTTTTCCTCAATAATATCTTATAAAAAGCTCACAACCAGGTTATTGGCTTTGACCCAACCACCCAGTAAGGACAAGCTTCCTGATTCCCTTTGTGCACATGTTCTCGTGTGAGTGTTGAATCCTGTGCTCTTTTATGACGCGCATTTGCCATGCGGTCCAGAGAGGGAACAGCTCTCTACCAGATTCCCAGCACCGAGGAAACTGCCTTCTATTCTTGTTTTTGTTGGTGCATTTTTATCCCAGAAAAATATACACAATGAAATTTAACAGTTTAACTGTTTTTCAGTGCGCAGTTCAGTGGTGTTAAGTACATTCATATTGTGGTGCTGCTGCAACCACAATCATCTCCATCACTGTTCTCATCTTCTCCAACTGCAGCTCTGGCCCCACTAAACAACAACACTGCATCCATCCCACCTCTGGTACCCTCCACCTTACCTGTCTCTATGACTGACGGATCCAGGGACCTCATGTGAGCGGGGTCACACAGTATTTGTCTCTGTGACTGGCTTCTTTCACTGAGTTATGTCTTCAGGGTGCATCTAGGTTGTAGCATGTGTCACAATGTGCTATTTTTCTAAATTGAATTTATTGGGAAGAGATTGGTAATAACATTATATAGCTTTCAGGTAAACAGTTCTATAATACATCATCTGAATGTTGAACTGTGTGTCTCACTGTCCTCGCCCCTCCCCCCAAGCCAGGTCTCCTTCCATCACAATTTATCTTTTCTAAACCCTCTTCTACACACACCCCTTTCTCTCTGAGAATCACCAAACTGCTGTCTGTGTCTTTGAATTCTTTTCTTTGCTTAACACCTTCGCCTTTTTCACCTAGTCCCCCAACCTCCCTCTCCTCTGACAACTGTCAGTCTGTTCTCTATATCGATGATCCTGTTTCTATTTTGATGTAGTTTAATTTGTTCATTAGATTTCACATATAAGTGAAGCCATAAGGAACTTGTATTTCTATGACTGGCTTACTTCCCATCACTGAGCATAATACTCACCAGCTCCATCCATGCTGCTCCAAAAGGAAAGATTTTTTTTTCTGGGTGTGTGGGTGAGTAGTATTCCATTGTGTATAATGTAGCACAGCTTTGTCTCCGCTTATCTGCTTCTGGGCACTTGGGCTGCTGTGAAATCTTCGCTATTGTAAATAATGCTGCAATGAACAAAGGCGTGCATATATCCTTTCAGATCAGTGCTTCAGATTTCTGCAGATATATTCTCAGAAGGGAAAATGCTAGGTCATTCTGATTTTTAATTGTTGAGGAAACTTCATACTGCTTTCCACCTTCATACTGCTTTCCACAGTGGTTGTACCAATCTGCATTCCACGTGGGTTCCCTTTTCTCCACATCCTCACCAGCACTTGATGTTTATTGATTTATTGATGATAGCCATCCTGACAGATGTGAGGTGATTCCTCACTATGATGTTGATTTCTGTTTCTGTAATGATTAGTGATGCTCAGCATCTTTTTGTTTGTGTAATGGTCATCTGCAGGTCCTCGTTGCAGAAGTATCTATTTAGGTACTTTGCCCATTTTTAAATTGGATTGCTTAATTTTTTATATTGTTGAGTTTTATAAGTTCTTTCTAAATTTTGGATATTAAGCCATCCATTACCAGCTGTATCATTAGAAAATATGTTCTCCCATTCAATGGGTTGTCTTTTCATTTTGTTGGTGTTTCCTTTGCCGTGCTAAACATTTGTTTGATGTAGTCTCATTTGTGTAGTTTTTCTTTTGCTTCCCTTGTCCAAATAGATATATCAGAATAAAAAATATTGCTATGAGTATTGCCTTTATTTTCTTCTAGAATTTTTATGGTTCAATTTTTACATTCAAGTCTTTAATCCATTCTGGTTTTACTCTTCTATAAGGTGTAAGAAGGTAGTCTGCTTCCATTTATTTTTGTACATATCTTTCCAATTTCCCCAATAACATTTATTGAATGGTCTATCTTTAGCCCATTGTATGTTCTTGTGTCCTCTATCAAATATTGAACATTTTGGTTTATTTTTGTTCTTTTTATTCTGTCCAGTGACCTATGTGTGTTTTATGCCAGTACCATGCTATATTTATTACTCTGGTCTTGTAATATAGTTTGATATCAGGTAGCATGATTCCTCCAACTTTGTTCTTCTTTCTCAAGATCACTTGAGAAAGTGATCACTGTGGTTTGATTTTGTTTGATTTATGTGAATGTGTGTGTGTGTGTATGTGTGTGTGTGTGTATGTGTGTGTGTGTTGGGTTTTTTTTCTCTTTTTTTTGTACTTCTATACACATTTTTGTGATATTTGTTGTAGCTTTCTGAAATACGCCATTGAACATTTTAATGTTATTTCCTTATCTGTGAACACAATATATGCTTTTATTTGTATCTTTTTTGGCTCCTTCCTTTTTCTTTCTTTCTTTCATTCTTTTTTTTTCTTTCTCTTTCTTTTATCCTTTTATTTTCTTTTCTTCCTTTCTTTCTTTTTCTTTTATTTATTTATTTATTTCGTTCTCTTCCTTCTTTTTTTCCTTCTTTTCTTCCTTTGTTTTTGTATGTGTGAATCCTCATAATAGGATATTGTTTCCTTTGCTTTTTGAGAAAATGTGGGAGGGAGACAGTGAGTAGAGAGGGATGGAAGGGAGGAAAGGAGGGAGGGAAGTGAGAGATAGAAAGAAACAGAGAGAGCTAGAGCCAATGATATGAGACCCATGATTCATTGCTTCCTGCACTCACACAAATGGTGACACCAGGAATCAAAACTGTAATCCAGGTATGTACTCTTGACCAGAAATGGAACCTGTGACCATTTGACACTCTACCATTTGGCAAAACTGATCAGGGTTTCAATTTCTTTTCTTCAGTGTCTTTTAATTTTTTGAGTACTGGTCTTTTACATTCTTAGTTAAATGTAATTTTAGGTATATGTTTTTATTCAAATGTGAATTAGATTTTTTTCTTAGTTTCCTTTTTCAGAGGTCATTATTGGAGTGTAAAAATGCAGCTGATTTCTGGATATTTATTTTCTGTCTTGCTATGTTCTGAATTCATTTATCAGTCCTACAGTTGGGTGTTTTTTTGTTTATTTTTATTTTTTTTATGGAATCATTTGGGTTCTCTGTATACATTATGTCATCTCCAAATGATGTCAGTCATACTTCTTCCTTTCCAATTCAAATGCTTTTCATTTCTTCTAATTACAGTGGCTAGGACTTCCAGCACTATGTTGAGCCCATATGGTGGCAGCAGACATCTCTGACTTGCTCCTGATCTGAAGAAAAACACTTTTACCTTTTGTCCATGGAGGATGAGATAGCTTTGTCCTACATGATCTTCATCATGTTGAGGTGCGTTCCTCTATTCACACTTTGCTGAGAGTTGTTAGAATGAATGGGTGCTGAGTTTTGTTGAATTCTCTTGATGCATCTATTGTTATAAATGTGTGGTTTTATTCTTTATTTTGTTTATGCTGTATTATGTTCTTTATGTGCAGAATAAATCCCACTTTTTAATGTGTTCCTGGATCCAGTTTTCCAATATTTTGTTGAGGATTTTTGCAACAGGGATATTGGCTTATAATTTTTTTCTTTCTAATGTCTATTCTGGTTTTGGGATTAGCATAATGCTGGACTCATAAAAGGAGATTGGGAGTCTCCCCTTGTCGTGAATGTTTTGGATGAGTTTGAGGAGAACAGGTATTATTTCTTCTCTGAATAATTGATGAAATGCACTGTGATGCCATCCAGTCCAGCACCTATGTTGGATGAGAGAGGTTGTTTTTTCTTTTAATCCTCACTCAGGATATTTTTCCCAATGCTTTTGTTTGATTGTTTGTTTGTTTGTTTCTTTTTAGAAAGAGAAGAGGGAAGTAAGGATGGAGAGTAGAAAAGAGGGAAGGAGGGAGGGAGAGAAAGAGGGAGGGAGGAAAGGAGGGAAGGGGGAGAGAGAGAGAGAGAGAGAGAGAGAGAGAGAGAGAGAGAGAGAGAGAGAGAGAGAGAGAGAGAGAGAGAAAGAGAGAGGGGTGAAACACATGCATCAAATGGTTTTCTCACACACACACACACACACACACCTCAACAGGGGGTAGGGGTGAACCTGCAACCCAGGTATTTGCCCCTGACAGGCAATTGAACCCTTTGGTGCATGGACCATAGCTCTAACCACTGACCGACAATGGTACGTGCTTCATTGATCTCTTGTTTTTTACTATTTTGTTTATTACTGCTCTGATGTTTATTAATTTCCTTTATTCTCCTCATTTTGTGATGCCTGTTTCTTTTTTCACTAGTTCCTCTAAATATAAAGTTTGATGATGTATTTCAGATTTTTCTTGTTTCTTGAGGTGGGCCTGTAATGCTATGACTTTCCCTCTTAGGACTGCTCATGCTGTGTCTCATAGAGTTAGGCTTGTTGTGCTCTCATCTCCATGTGTTTCACGGTATCATTTGATTATTTCCTTGATCATATTGTAACCTTCCATTTTTTAGAAACATGTTAATTAGCCTCCAATACATTCTGTGCTTTATAATTTTTTCTTTTTCTTTTTTTTATCCGATAAGTATTAATTTTTATTGAGGTCAAATATAAGATTTACAGTTTTATCCACATTTAAGGATACATAAAGTATATTGATGTGCAACTCTCACCACCATCTATCTCCATGTTCTTTATTTATTTTATTTTTTGCTTTTCGTTGCTTTTATTTCTTTGTTAATAAATTTACTGTGGCTGGGTGGTTTTAGGTGTGTACAGTTCTGTAATAGGCCACCTGTATATCATTTTTTCTCATTAACTTCTAGTTTTATACAGTTATTGTCAGGAAAGATTCTTGATATAATGTCAATCTTCTTAAATTTACTGAGACTGTTTCTGTGTGTTAACATGTGGTCTATACCAGAAAATGTTGCACGTCCACTTAAAAAGAACGTGTATGCTACTGCTTCAGAGCAAAATGCTCTTAAGATACCAATTAAATCCATTAGATCTCGTGTGTTATTTAAGGCCATTCTTCCTTCTTGATTTTCTGTCTGGAGGATCCATCCATTGATGCCAAGGGGATGTTAAATTCCGCTGCTCTGACTGTATTATTATTGGTCTCTCCATTTATGTACATCGCAATTTGATTTACACATTTAGGTGCTCTTATGTTGGGAAAATACATGTATCCAAGGGTTTATTTTCTTGTGGGATTGCTCCCTTTCACATTATGTGGTGTCTTTCTTTATCCCTCAATATAGTCTTCTTTAACACCTATTTTTTTAACTATAGGTTTTACCTCCCAGCTTTTTTTTAA